AGGGGAGGAGGAAGTGGGAAGTTGTAAAATTGCATGAGAGTATTTTCCTTGTACGGAAATTATTACAGAAAAATCTTTCTCCATCGCGGAAAGTTGTTAGAAATGATTTTTTTCTGAGTTACTTGCTTGATATGAACTGTTATTCTTAATTTTTCATCATGTAAAATTAAAGTGTTCAACCCACCCCTCCCTCAATAACTTGTCAGATGGTTGGTCCCTGAACTTCCGGCGAAAATTTGTTACTCTTACCTACGTGTTTCAAAAAGGAAAGACAGACCAAGGAGTATAAAGTTTGTAACTTACGCATTAAAACCAATAAGTGGTCTAAAAAAAAAAAGAAAAGAAAAGAAAACAAACAAGTTTACCTCAGCACAACACATGGAAACCATGTCCTCGACTGTATCCATCGCAACTCGAGCAGTGGACCATGTATATAAGAAATGCGGATCAAAAGAACGACCACACTGAAAAAAAAAATGTGGAATGAATACCACCAGTTTATATAAAAAGGAAATAACATCGAAGATGTGATCCGAAAATCTTTGACAATTGCATAGCACATTTTGTTTCGTATTTTCAAATAGTCCATTTCACAGTTGCATGCCTGATTACTAAGCCTTTGAACAGGATTGAAGCTAAGGGTGACTTTGTTATGATACAAACCTTGCTGTTTTTCAAAAGTAAATTACTTTGTTATCATGCTAACTAGATACTGGTCTCTATCACAACAAAGTCACCTTCAGCCTCACTCCAAATCAAAGGCTTGGCAACTAAGTAAACAACTGCAAAATGGCCCATTCTTGGACTTAGCCAACTTAAAATGCGAAAACTAGTAACCTAGAACTTAGCCAAACACAACACAAAAGAACTTGAAAATAGATACCGTTATTAATTCGAAAAATCAAACAAAGCTGTCAGTCAATGATCAATTTTCATCAACTTGCTCGTCAAGAGTTCCGTGTGTACATTATTAACGGGGTAAGAGTATCAAGTCAGAGGCAATCAGTAAGCCTACCATTGCATAACTGCTTGGTCCGTAACTGCCCTTCATGATAACTGTAATCTTTGGAACCTGATTAAAAATAATCCAAGTCAAGATTTTACAATGTGTAAAAAGAAATCCAAACCTTAGTGAATATTTAATGTTATTTCTACCCAAGGCTCACTGGAAGTTTCTTCCCATTAGCGATCGAAATGAGGAATTCATTATGACAAAAATCATTCCCAGAACAAGAAAAGGCAGTAGCTAGTATTAATAAACTTTATTGACAGTCCAATATTGAATAAAGGCTGATAGTTTCTAAAGAAACTGTTTGGGGCTGCGTCGGTGGGGGTAACGAAATAATTTGAATATATCAACAAAGTTGAAATGGTAAATTCGCCACCGTACCGATTATAAAAGCTGACGTTTCGAGCGTTAGCCCTTCGTTGGAGCGAATAGGGGAATTGTGAGTTGTGTGTGCTTTTAAAGGCAGAAAA